ACTCTGAGACTGGAATCAAGTATCATTAGAAATCATGATGTCTAATATACAGACAGATGGACACACATCTGTCCACTCAAAGGGCCAGAAGCAATGATCTCTCAGTAGCCAGCACCCTAGTGTCCAGATCCTGTTTTTTAATCCATTCTTCAATAAAAAGAATAAGGTTCCTTTGAAAAATGGCTGATTTCAGGACTGGTGCAGGGGAAATATAAGACTAGCCTAGAACTCTTAAGCTGTTAGAAAGCAGGGAAACCGCTAGGGCCATATCAGGAGGACAGAGTCGCCAATTCAAAACGAGCTAGTGACCAAACTTGGAATAATTGATCAACAAAATAAAAGCTTATTCTTATTATGTACAACTCAACACTGATGCAAGTGACAAAATAAAAAGAAGAGCTCCTCTTAACAGTATCCTAATTATTAAATGGAAGCTAAATGATGAAACTAGAAAATCACCATTTGGTAAACACAATAATAAGACTGCTCACTTGGTAAAAAGTTATGATGAGAAACAGGATATCTGCATGATTTCAAAGCATCACCTCCAAAATAGGCTACTAACTACACAGGAAAAAGAGTATCTTCGCAGTAGAAAAACTGGGAGATGTCATCTTAATCAAGTGATGACAGCTAACATTCCCGGTAATGAGACGGGTCAACATCATGTAGCCTTTAACACTAGGCCCTGAAAAAGAACACCACCTCACTTCTGTGATACAACCTGAATACAATGATGAGCAAACACCAGACAATCCCAAACTGAAAGACATTCCATAAAACAGCCTTCAAGAGTGTCAGGTCATGAGAGGACAGCAGTGGAACATTTGGAGAAATCTAAATAACACTTAGAACTTAGGATAGTACTTATGGCATTTGCAGGTAAATGGATGGAAAATATTATGTTAAGTGAAGTAAGCCAATCCCAAAAAACTAAAGGCCGAACGTTTTTCTCTGATTACTGGATGCTGATCTATGATGAGGGGTGGTATGGAAAGAATGGAGGAACCTTAGACTGGGCAAAGGGGAGAGAGTGGGGAGGAGTTATGAGGATAGGAAAGATGGTGGAATGAGATGGACATCATTACCCTAGGTACATGTATGAATACATAAATGGTGATCTCTATACCATTTACAATCGGAGAACTGAAATGCTACACTCCATTGGTGTACGATGAATTGAAATGCATTCTGCTGTCACGTACAACTAAGTAGAACAAATAAAAATGATCATGATAAAATTGGTATAAACAATATAAGATATATTCTATATATAATAAAAACAACAAAAAATGAGATTTACAAAATATTAGAATATAAAAATTATAATTAAACTCTAAGGAGAAATAAACACAGGAATGATACAATCTTAAAATCTGAATAGCACACTTTGATCCTACCAAGGAGCCTTAAGGGAGATAGAATGCATTCCTGTCAATCCCTTCTCAAGTTCAGAATAGGTCAGCAACTTTCAAATAATGCAACAGTGTATTGCTTAACACTCTGTATGTTCTATAAATGCCAAAGGGATCAATAAGGGTGAAATGACCAACAAGGAATAAGGCAACTAATTACTTTTCTCTCTTCTTCTCCTAGAGGGGCATCTTATGGTTTCCTCCCTTTCAAGCAAAAAAGAATACAAAGAACTGGGAGTCATGTGAGGAAAAGATGATGGTAACTCTTTTCTATGTGCATCTCCAGGTTTTAATTCTTGGTTTTTCTCCTCAAATATTAAAATGGACCAGAGAGAATTCATGCCTTTATATAAATTCCTAATTTATCTCAAAGCAAAAGGAGAGCAAAACTAAAAGCAAGCAGGAGGAAAGAAGTAATTATTATTATAATAGAAATTAATGAATCATAAAATAGAGAAATGCCAGAGTCTCAAAGAGTCTTTCTACTCACCTGCCTGCCTGGTTAAAGCTGCCTATTTATCCTAGATTAATTTCAAATGGGAGACTCAAGATGGTTTCTCAAAAGATGATAAACTGGGAGTTGAAGGATGAAAAAGAAAGGGAAAACAGCAGCAATAGTTTGGACTTTGGAATAACACGAAGAGAACTGAGGACACACGTGCCCTGTGGATCTGTATCATGAGCTGAAAGAAGAATAACCACAGCACAGGCCTATTAACATCGTATACAAGAATCCTTTCATAAGCAGATGGGAAACCTGGAAGAGCAGAAATTTGGGAAAGTCAGATTAATCTGGCTCTGGACAGATTAAAACTAATATTTAGATAACACAGTGAGGTAGGCAGGTGGAAATACAGGCTCAGGAAGAGCCTGGAAACCTAGGCCAGAAACAACTCCACACGTAGGTCACCCTCAAAGCCACACAGCACATACCTGTTCCTAGTGTTACTGAGGCCCCAGCTTAGAACTACTCATCAAGGTGGAATCAAACACTGTGATTAATAATAATTTTAAACTGACTAAAGGCAATTCAGTGCACTCTTTAATTCATCTGTTCAGATTTTCTTGATTGAAATTCTGCATAGATATAGAGACAAACAGTGCATTTGAGAGAAACGACTCTTCAGAGACGGGAACACTGCCAATGTTTACAAGGTTTCCCCTGTGTGATCCCGCAGTGCCTCTGCAACAACGATGAGCTCCAAACAGTCAACAGCATCACTCTTTTTGAAGAGATGAGGAAACTGAGGCCCAAGAAAGCATAAAAAGGAGCAAAATCCAGCCCAGAATACAGTCCCTCTGGATCCAAACCCAATAATACTGCATCTTAATCCAGATTAATCATGATAGTAAGAGGGTCTCAAATCCATAAGGACATTAGGCTCTGTCTGTAAACTGAACATCATTTTTCAAGTGTGTAAGAATGATTCTTTCACAGTTAAAGGTTTTTTTGCAATTAAATATTAATATGTGCTCACTGTAAGTAAAATCTGATTTTATAAAATTGTATGCAATACAAAGTGACATCAGTCCATAATCCCAACTCTCAAGCTATTTGCTAGTGAGAGTATCCGGTATATTACAGGAGATTACTTTCCTTACCTGTTTTATTAATACACATATAAGAGCTATATAAATGTTTATGTACTTGAACGTATTTCTGTATTTGCAAAGTTTCTATTGGGTCTGTTTTTAGAAGCAAAATGTTGGGTTAAAGTGTTTGTTTTTAATTTTAATAGCTATTACCAAGTTCCTTTTTGATTGGCCAGTTTGGTTACTTAAAAGGAAAACTTTTATAACAGATTAAAACATCATAAGTTAATACAAGTAACAAATGAGAAAATATTTCATATATGAAAATGTCTTACAAATCACAATTTACAACCAAAAAAATAAGCAAAGCTTATAAAATAGTTATACATACTAATGATCCAAAATAAAACTTCATAAACCAACATTTAATCCCACTCAGTAAAGAAATCCAAATTAACAAAAGTCAAGTATTATTTTCAACCCATCCAATTGACAAAAATATTTTAAAACTAGTATGAACTACAGGAAGAAAGAAATAGCTCTCTCAGACTTTTGGAAAGGAGATAAACAGATTTAATTTCTACAGGGTATGCTGGCTATCTATGAATATTTTAATGTGTATGGATTCTGAGAGAGCAATCTGTATTTATAAATTAGTTCCAAGTCAGTAACTATAAAAGTATACAATTTATTTACAGAAGTGCTTATTTCAGTACTGCTTATAACTGCAAAAACTCAGAAACAGCCTATCAATCAAATAACTCATGTTGAGGGGGTGGGGCTGTAGCTCAGTGGTAGAGTGCTTGTCTAACACATGTGAGGCACTGGGTTCAATCCTCAGCATCACATAAAAATTAATAAAATAAAGGTATTGTGTCCATCTACACTAAAAAAGTTTTTAAAAATAATTCATGTTGAAACCAGACAATGGAGTATTTTTTAGTCATTAAAAAATGATGCTATGAGGCTTGGGTTGTAGCTCAGAGGTTAAACGCTTGCCTCACATGCATGAGGTACTGGGTTCGATCCTTAGCACAACATAAAAAATTAATAAAATAAAGATATTGTATCCGTCTAAATTTTTAAAAAATTTAATTTTGTTTTTAAAAATGATGCTGTGATTTTTAATCTGTTTAGCATGGAAAGATGTTCACGGTATTAAAATATGTATAGAATGATCCACTCATATATGTGTACACAAGTCATAGGAAAAATTCTTTAAGACACATTTAAAAATACTTATAGTTCTATCCACATGAAGGTGTAAGAGGCAAGTTTTCATTACATATTTATTTAATTGTTTTAAATAATGTGCATATTACTTTTTTCATTAAGAAAACATTAAGATCATTTTTATTTAAAGAGACAGAGAACCCTGAAAGAGTGGGAATCAGAGGTCCAGAACTATACACAGTTATACTATGTCCATCTTCTGCCCCCCACCTTCTTTTTTCTTACCTTTTATTGGGGACGGAGGGGTGGGGATCAAACCCAGGGCCTTATGCATGCTAGGCAAGCCATCTAGGTGAACGTTACCCTTAGCCTTTTCCCAGGCTGAAATTTGATATGATAATTAAGGAAATATTTACTCCAGGGCACTTGTTCCTTGTGGTATCAGACAAAAAAGATTCTTTCTCTAAATCTTTTGAGGAGACTAAAACTGAAGAGGTATATTCAAGTGATTTTCCTCTAATAAAATGATGGCTGCCTCATAGGGGTTAGCCTAGGCTGGGGTTATGCATACTAAGCTAAACCCTCCTTCAGTTTCACAACTCCAATTTAGGTCTCAGAGCTAGAAATGGGGATTCACTTTTTTATGATCTATGTGTATAAAATTATCCTACTGACAATGAAGGTTATCATTCCTGGCTTTAACTGCAGGGAAGAACTTAGAGCAAACAACACACAAGATTTATATTAACTAACCAGATAGCATATATTACCTAAGCTTCACTCAGTACATTTTGAAAATTGTTTATAAAGCATATCTGAATATTCAATTATAGTTTTACTCTTAAGACTATATATGGTAAAAAAATAACAAATAATTACCTCTCCTATGAAGACTACTATAACACAGTCCAACTTCTCTTCAGGATACAAATTATCAATAAGGGAATGAAGAGTTTCTATGAGGTAAGATTTAACTTCTCTCTTCACTGTGGGAATCCCCATTACTATTGAAACTGAAACAAAACAATACAGTAATTACATAAAAAGACTTCACAAGGACAATAATAGAAAAATACTACCATTTTGAAAATACAATGCTTCAAATTCACAGGAATTGAGGGATTCAGTTTCAATTTCAGAAAGAAATTAATCAAAGGATACAAGACCATACCTATAATACTGTATTATCATACGTTCCACATGGCTTAACCATAAAGGGGTGGGGTGGGACAGAGAGAGAGAGAGAGAGAGAGAGAGAGAGAGAGAGAGAGAGAGAGAGAGTGTGTGTGTGTGTAATGTCAAAGAATTGGTAAAAATAAGAGTCAACCTCACATTAAAAATGAATGGCTATAAAGTATAAACAGAAAAATTTTATACGACTAAAACTCAGAAACACTAAACATGCCTTAAAAATTAATGTCTTACATATCAACTTCAAGTCTATGACGCACTGAGAAGGGAACAGCACCACTTCTGTGGTTTTCTTGCCAAAAGGAATAACCTCAACCTGACCAAAAAGAAATATCAGACAATTCCAAATTGTGGGGTCAGTCCACAAGATAGGCAGCCAGTCCTCAAAAGCATCAAGGTCATGAAAAACAAAGAACTGTCCCAGATTGGAAAAGACTGAGAAAACATGACTATTTAAGGAAATACAAAATCCTGACTCGACCTTGGAACAGAAAAACAATGAAAATTACAAAGTCTGAATAAGAGCCAAGGTTAGCTAATAGTGTGGCGTTGGTGTTAATTTCCTGGTTTGATTATGATACCATGGTCATGGGTATGACCGGTAGATGAGGGATAGAGAAACGCTGGGTGCTATAGGAATCTGTGCAACATTTTTAAGGTCTAAAATTATAGTTGATTCTACTAAAGTGCTTGTTTTGATTGCAAATTTGTTTCTACATGATTAATTTATTAGGGATCAACATGGGCATAGCATGAATTTCACATTTGCTTATATGCAACTTCTCCTGAGACACTCACATAGGTGAATAATAGCCTGTATGCAGGCTGGGCACCATGGTGCATGCCTGCTGCCTCCAGCAGCTTGGGAGGCTGAGGCAGAAGGATTGTAAGTTTAAAGCTAGCCTCAGCAACTTAGCAGGGCCCCAAGCAACTTAGTGAGACCCTGTCTCAAAAAAGGGCTGGGGATTTGGCTTAGTGGTTAAGCACTCTGGGTTCAATCTCAGTACTAAAAAAAAAAAAAAAAAGAAAGAAAGAAAACCATACCCAGGCTAAACCAATTCAGGAAACTAAACTTTGTAAAAATACCAAAATGCACACACCACAAACCTCTACCAGCTGCCTCAGTTCTTCACATGCTATCAACCATACCCATCCACACTGGGGGTTCCACGTTCCTTCAGATTTCAGATAACGCAACTTGCACCACCAGTTTGTGGTAACTTGTAAGCTACAACCCCTCTATAGCCTGCAGCAAACGGCAGGTCCCTTTCAGGCAGAGTTCCATATTATATTAGTTACGTATCCCTTAATCACTTAACATGTACAAAATTGTGCTGCCATCTTCATTAGGTTTTAACCTTTTTTTATGTTTGCCTGGTTTTGAGTGCTGTGATCCTAATCCCATTCTTCTCTTTCTGTTGCATAGCTTTGCAGGGTGCAGTGATTTGAGGAACACACATTTACTATAGAAGTGACTACATTTCAAAGTAAGTTTTTAAAATTCACATCTTCAAGTCGTAATATTCTGAGTGCTATATGTCAACAGAGAAGTATTCTGCAGATGTTAAAAATAATCTAGTCTTAATTATGGAACAATTAATTGGAGATGCTACAAAATACTTAGAATTCATAGAAACCTAAAACTAGAAGGAAGCTTAAAGAACATGGGTCAACTAGTCTACAACCATGATTTGCAGGTAAGAATACTAAGTACAAAGGGGTTAAGGGACTGCACCTGTTCTGTGGCACAAATTATCTGAGTGAATGATATAAAAATAAGCTCCCTGCCCTCACAGAACTTACACTGCTGAAGAGGGGAGAGAGATAATAACCTTAGAGGATAATCCATGCTACACAAACTCAAATGTGATAATGTCAGCGTGAGGAATGGAGGGGTGCCTCTACAGACAGTGTGGTCATGAACGGGCTCTCTGCTTTCAACTGAGCTGGTTAATTAATGATGAGGCAGAACGTTCCAGAAGAGAGAACAACAGGGAAGGCACAGTGCTTTTGACATAGTAAAGAAACATCAGGAGCAAAAAAATATCTAAAATAGAATAAGCCTAGATCCAGAGAATTTGTTAAGGGTCAGGTCACATGGAACAAATTCAGTCTTAATTCCTAGAACAAAGAGAAAACCATTATCAAGTTGTAAGCTGAGCAGTGACATTATCCAACTTGTAATCTTAAGAGATTACCAAATGTTATGGAAAGTAAAAGCATAACTTTAAGAGTATTTTGGGAGGATCAGTTAGGAAGTTACTGCACTAATTAAAGGAAAAATGGTGGTTTGAATTAGGATGTCTGAAGAGTTGAAAATGAACAGATAGATGAATTTAGGATGCAGTCTAAAGACCTTCACCAGGGGACCAGGAGAGGGAGGAAGAAGTGGGATCCAGGATGACTTCAGTAAGTGGAAAGGGGATCTTTTATCCAGAACAACACATTTGAGGGGAAGAAGGCTCCAAATCAAGATTTCTATCTTGATCATGTTACTTTGAGATGCCAAAACACAGGCAGGATGAGTTATCTTGGAAGCAAATTTCCATATACTCAACCTTAGAATCTAAAAAATATATATTTTAAATATTTAAAATATAGATTAAGAGTGTAACAACTATGATATGAAGTGTTCCTAGGCAATGCCAACTCATAAGTAATTCAAAAACTTTATGGAAAAAGCAAAATACATTGATCCAGAGCATGCAATAAAGTAATAATGCAAAGTGCCTATTCCCTACTGACTAGGGATGTTTTTGCTTACATTTTGGTTTATTTAAGCTTAAAATGGCATGTTTTTGAGATTAAGCCATTTTCCCCAAATATACTCTGTTTTGGAGCTGAAATTTAAATTCTTTAGTTTAAGGACTCCAAAAAACACTGAAAATGAAAGTACTAATTTTGGTCACACTTTCAGAATTAGAGTAAACCATGCTAGTGATAATTCAAAAAGTGACCACAAAAAAAAGGAAATAAAGAAGAGAATCTTTCATTTTCTAGGATATTCCACACTCCCTTCCGTCACAGGGAAGTGTTATGGTGCACTTCCCACTTTTTTCCCATTGTGGTAGAATAGATGGCCTCCCAAAGATGTCCATGTCCTAATTCCTGAAGGCAGTTTTCCTGGTCTTCTGGGGTGGAGTAAAGTTCAGAGTCATCAGTCTGAGCACCGTATCTGTAGTCTGAAACCCTTCAGGATGTCTTTTCTGTTTGGCAGGGTAGCCAGTTATATTCAAGATGGCAAAGGCTCTGTCAGCCTGGATCCCTGAGTGATCAGTGAGTGCACAAAACCTTATCAACCACACTGGAAATATACTGTCAGCAAAAATTTAAATAAACCTTTGCTATGTAAACCACTGAGATTTGGAGGTTGTTGGATACCACAGCATAACCCAATCTGCTCTTGTTTGACATTACCAACTTCTATCCTTACAGCCTAGGAAATGTGTGTATTCTAAGGGGTTAGAGTTCAGGGAAAATATGTCAGCAAAGTGAAGAATATAGTCAGATCATCCTTTTAGAGAGAAGAATCAAGGAACCCAAGAGAAATAGAACAAAAGGGTTGGACTATATTTCCAATTTAAATAATAATTGTGCACATGAAAACTGACCATATACTAGACACTCTGAAATGCAGTCGTAATCGCTTCTCGGCCTTTTGGCTAAGCTCAAGTGTAGTATCTGTTCTTATCAGTTTGAAATGCAGTCGTAAGGTTGGCGAGGCCCCCCACCTTGTGTTGTTATTATGTGACAGAGGCATCAATTGTTATGTCACTTTTCTTCCACTTTCTTGGGAAGTTTTCAAATTCTAGTATTTATTTCCTTTAAAATTGAGAACACTTTCAGAACAATCTTGATTTGGCTTTTCCAATCTTCAATTAGTCTATCTTTATTTGAACTAAATTATATTCCTTTTTAAATATTCATTGCTACTTAATATTTTTAGCCCATCATGTTTCCCCTATGGTTTGACTTAAGTCATTTACTCCCCCATTTCTTCCTTTATATTCCATGACAATTTTTTGTCTTCTACTGCTCAGTTGTACTTTCTGTCTTCCCTGACTTTATCCTCTTCTTTCACTGGAAATTAACTGCTGGAGAACTTTGAAGGTTCAGTTCTGGGCCATAGGATGATCTCATTTATATCCATGTCTTCAACAACCACTTATTCATAAACAAAAACTCCTAAAAATTAAACCTAACTCTTATTTCTCCACTGAGTCTGAGATTTAAATATTCACCTACCTGCATGACTTCTCCACTTCATATCCTTTTCCCTTGAAACTTGACATATCCATATTTAATGCATCTCTTACAAACCAATGCTGCAAACCATTTGCTACTGTCTCCTATCTCTGTGAATGCACCCAGCATGCATTGCTCCATCCAGAAACCTAAGGCTTGTCCACAAATCCAGTCCATAACTATGATTTCTCTTAAATGCTGCCATATACTCCAAACAGCCCTTAACCCCATCTTCTTTCCTTCTCTACAACCACCGGCCATTGCCTAATCTGAATCCATCCTTCTCCAGTCCCCCAGAACAGCCTCTTACCTGGTCACCCACATCTCCTCTTCTTCCCATACTTTCATTCTTCCCATTGCAGGAAATGGGACCTTGCAAGATTTAAGTCTTAAAAAGTCATCCTTGCCAAGTTCTATTTAAAACTCTTTAGTTGCTTCACATTGCTCTTAAGATGAAAACCAAACTCCTGTAACAGGTCTGAAAAGCCCTGTGATTTGGGGCCTGAACTCCTATCTCTAGCAGCACATTGTCCTGTGCTTCCCCTCACTCTGCACTAACTACAGTGGCCTTCTTTCATTTTCTAGGATATTCCATGCTCCCTTCTGTCACAGGGAAGTGTTGTGGTGCACTTCCCACTTTTTTCCCATTGTGATAGAATAGATGGCCTCCCAAAGATGTCCATGTCCTAATTCCTGAAACTTGTGAATATGTTACCCTACATGAAAAAGGGACTTTGATATATGACTAAATTAAGCATCTTGAAACAGGATTATTCTAGATTACCAAATGTGCTCAAGATAAGCAAAGAGGTTATACAAGAGGAAGGCAGAAGGGTCTGAGGGAGAGGAGGTGAGGTAGTATCAAAAGGAGAGATGTGAAGACACTCTGCTTTAAAGATGAAGGAATGCAATCAGCCTGTGCACTCCAGAACAGCACGGGAAGGGATGATTGATCACACCGGGTTTCTGAAGGAACACACCCCCAGACACCTTAAATTTAGGATTTCTACCCTCCAAAACTGTAAGACTATAAATGTATGTTAAGTCCCTGAGTTTGTGTAGTAGTCTGTTAACAGCAGCGAAAGGAAATACCCACCTTTACCTGTTAACTATATATTCTACTAGTCTCAGAGCCAATGTATTTTTGAGACTTCCCTAAACCTCTTCATCAGGGGAGATGCCCCTTTTCTACATTCTCAAAGCACCCTTTACATCACTAAAGGGTGATACACTTTAGTTACACTAAAGGGTGTAACTGATTATTTGACCAACACACACATCCTGTACTATGCCAAAGCTCCACAAAAACAGGAGCAATGTTGAATTCTATAAACCAGAGTGCCTGGCACGTGGAGGTGCTCATGGACTTTAACTTCAGCTAATACTTAAAGGAATTACCTGTGGTCCTCTCCTGACCAGGAGCACCATTTGGTAGATAACCTAACAAGAGTCTTTTGTCAGTTATCCTGCTCTTCACTGAATAGGCCCTTATTATGAAGACCTGGGTGCTTCTTCAACTCAAAAATATTTTCTTCTGTACTTATTTGACTTTCTAAAAGAACCAAACAGCTCAATCTTCCTGATCACTAATTTTATCTTCAGTTGTATCTACTCTTCATCAACCTCCTGATGGAAATTTTAAATCACTGAAATGAAAAACACAAAGATTTCTGTTTCTTTTATAATAGTTATTATTTTATGGGTAAGTTTTACATTCACATCCCTCTAAAAGCACACTGATTGTGTTTTGTTTTTAAGTCATATTCCATTCTATAAACTAATTTTTTTTAGTATTAAATCACTCGTGGTGCTGATCTTAGATTTTGGGGGACTCCCAGTTGAAGAAGATGCCCTTCTACCCATTTGTAGTTTCCACACCTGGTTTTTGTGCCCTGATTTTACAAATCTTTGTGGGAAGATGTAAGTGTGGTGCTAGGTGGGTGAGGAGTTATTTGTCCTGGACACGAGAATCCCTGACCCTCTCCTAGGGGTCAATAGCAATCCAAAGCACTGCCCTCCCCCTGCAGCCAGGGGAAGGCTTTGCTGCTAAGGGAAGTTTGTCAGCCTGACCACTGAAGAACAGAATTTTTAATCTTCAGAGCAGTAGTTTTAATCTGATCTCAAAAACTGAAGTTTTTAATATAAGTCCCTAGATAGGTTCTAGGGTTTCATAAAAATCTCAAAAATTACATACAAAATTGTTTTTTCCCTATGCATTTTTCTAAGCAGAGGCCGATAGCTTTCCTGGAACCTCTAAAAGATTGGTGTGAACATACTTTATATACAAACAGAGATAATGAAAAATTGTGCTCTATATGAGTAATAAGAATTGTAATTCATGCTGCTGTCGTGTATTTAAAAAAATAAAATTAAAAAAAAAAAAAAGAACCACTGCCTAAGAATTTAGGAAGGAAATTCCTATCACGTAAATCTGGGCACATTCCCACCCCGACTCCAAGCTGTATGCTTTTTCTTTCAAAATTAGTCTCAGCTTTATAAGAATGTTAACTGCTGAACCAGCCATGATGGTGCACATCTGTAAATCCCAACAACTCAGGAGGCTGAGGCAGGAGGATCAACAAGTTTGAGGCCAGTCTCAGTAATTTAGCTAGACCCTATCTCAAGAATTTTCTTTTTCTTTTTTTGTACCAGGGATTGAACCCAGGGTGTTTAAGTACTGAGCCAAGTCCCCAGTCCTGTCTCACTAAGTTGCTGAGGCTGGCTTTGAACTTAACCATCCTCCTGCCTCAGCCTCCCAAGCCACTAGCATGGGCCACTACAATCAGCTCAAGATAAATTTTTTTTAAAAAAAGGACTGGACATGCAGTTCAGTGGTTGAGCACCCTGGGTTCAATCTCCAATACCAAAAAAAAAAAGAATGCTAGCTGTTGGAAAGCTGGCTGACAAGATTTTATTGTATTTAAGATGGTAAAGAAATAAAGATGTATAAACAAATAAAATGGAATAAGTACCTCCAAAAAGAAAGTGAACGTCACATTCATAAAGGACAGGCTACTATAAAAGAACCTGTCAGAAACTTTGAAAAAGTTAAATGACTTTAAAAACACTTCTATTTTCATTTTCATTTATCTTACTAATAAAATATACAGTCTAAACCAATGAACCCACAATTTTGGCTAAGGCATCTTGTCCAAATAGAAACTGTTGAAGGGAGAGATACAGTAAGTACCAGCTTCAAAAAATAATGAAAAATCAATATTCTAAAAAAATTAATTTAGAGTACCCTACATGTCTTGTTCATCTTTATATATCTGGCACCTGCAGAATTCCTGGCCTCAATAAATATTTCTTGAATTAATAAAGAAATGAAAAAATAGGCTGGGGATGTGGCTCAAGCGTTAGCGCGCTCGCCTGGCAATCCTCAGCACCACATACAAAGATGTTGTGTCCGCTGAAAACAGAAAAATAAATATTAAATTCTCTCTTTCTCTCTAAAAAAAAGGAAATGAAAAAGTGAGTCTGAACATGGTATTTTAAGAGTTTACACCTCCTCAGGAAGATAACGTGTTATTTTAAACGTTTAATAAAACAGAAAGATATAAAATTAAATCAAGATGAATATAAATGCTTATGGTAACAGACTAAACAATATGAGAAAAAAAATGACCAAAAAAGAAAAGACAGGAAAATACTTAAGATTCTTACTATATCAAGAGTGGACTAAATCAGTTTTTCAAAGAACATTCACACAAAATGAATTTCAATATTCATAAAGTAATCATCTTGTCACTTGTTTAAGATTTGTAAGGGAGCAAAATCTGCACTCCAAAATCTACAAAGAGCTGGGTATAGAGGACACACCTTAGTCCCAGCTTCCTGGGAGGCCAAGGCAGGAAGATGGCAGGAGGCCAAGGCAGGAGGCCAAGGCAGGAGGATGGCGGGAGCCCAAGAGTTCAAGATCAGCTCCGCAACACAGTGAGACCCCATTTCTTTAAAAAATAAATTAAAACTACAAAGAAAATGTTAACAATGTCAAAAAGGAGGGATAAAAGTAGGAAAGCAGTAAGTGGTCCAAACAGCTCTGGTTGCCCTGCCAAGTAAGAAAAAAAAAAAAATCACAAATTATGTTTTGAGTACATTATAAAAAGAAGCAACTGAAGTATTTCTATTATTCCATGGAAAGTTTATATAAAAGGGACTGGCCCCTGACATTTTGGTAAAAAAAAGTAGGACACACATAAGAACCACCTTCCTGGCAGCACTATGAGAGCTATTAATGTTGAAATAAGACAAGAGGAAAAGTCATCTCTCTACCTCCCAAGTTTTTAAAACAGAAAAATTACAAAGGTTTAAACATTTGTCTGCCTGAACTAGATTTCTCTTGATCTTTTTCTGCAATATTATTCTCATCTACAAAGAAAAGTGTCCAACTTCTTTCAACATGGCGTCTGGCCAGTGTAAGCCCCAAGTGCACAGATAAAGAAAGAATTTTTTTCTTTGACCTGCCAGACTGCTCATGGTCAACATAACATGCCAAGTCACAATTCAGACCAGCGGGACAACCAGACTAAGAAGTAAGAAAATAAACATACCTCCTGTTCTTCCATTGCCAATCTGCACAGCAGGCTGAAGGCTTCCTTCGTTTTGCAATAAATGAGGCAAATGATAATAAATAGTTGGCACTTGAAGGGATTTTTTGCTTGTTAACTCCTTTAGTAGCTTTAGGGTATTACCTGAAACACAGAAGTATAATTAATTCACAAAATATCTTACCTTATACATTAACACTTTATCAAATTTTTATGTATTTTTTTCTGAAAATAAAATCTTATTTCCATTATGCAAGACTTTCGAATTTTCATTAAAGTATAGTGTTAACCTTTAAACAAGGAAGTTGGCAGAAAGGACTTGTAGCCTCAACTCCATTAAAAAAATAAGACAAAACCAAAAACTCACAAAAGAAATGCCAATACAAATATGTGAAATTCAAGTTAATCTTACAGGTAAAGAAACAATTACAAACCACAATATGTCATCTCTACCTATTAAATCAGTGGATTAAACAATAATATTAAAACAGCGTCAAAATCCCAGAAACATTCTGTCCTGTTATTCAGTAATTTCCCTTTAAAGAATTTAGCTTTTATGTAGTGTACAACCAGAGAAAAATTGTGTTCTAGATGTGTAATATGAATTGTAATGCATTCTGCCGTCATATATAACAAATTAAAATTAAAAAAATAAATTAAAAAAAGAATTTAGCTTTTATGTACTCAACAAATATTCAGTGGTTTTTTTTTAATATTTATTTTTTAGTTGTAGTTGGCCACAACACCTTTATTTCACTTATTTACTTTTATGTGATGCTGAGGATTGAACCCAGGGTCTCCCACGTGTGAGGTGAGCATCCTACCGCTGAGCCCCAGCCCCAACCCTATCCAGTTGTTTTCTATCCAATTCCAGGAATGTGCCAATGTATTTAAAAATCAACAGTCATCAAAGCATAGATCCTGTTTTTTAGAAAGTCATAATCTAATAAAAATAACTTAAGGGCTACCAGAAATGTGATCAACTGATAGTCAAAGATGTTCACAGAGTTATAAGCTGGGGGAAAACACCCAGGAAAAAAACATTTGATTAATTGTAGGAAAATATTTAATATATTATGGTATTTGATCAGCTGGATATCTACAGCTACTAAAAATAGCATTTTGAAGTATATTTCATGTTAATAAAAATGATCACAATATACTCTCAAGAATAATAATTCAGAAGAAAAATATGCATAAAAAGATAAAGGAAATAAAAAGTTTATTTTTCATCTATACCATTCAATAATGTTAAGCACCACCGTGACTGACAAATTAATCATAAGGAGGGGAAGCAAGGAACATAAAATTTTTAAAAATAAGTTAAGGTGATAGATCTAAAGATGAAAGGAACTCACAGTTCTTTTTAGAATAGTAGAAGCTCAATGAGAAAGTATGTTAGTCTGCACAAATCTGGAGCCAACTGGTTATAAACACACATCAGTCTAATCATCAGAACAAGAGCAGGACACAGCAAAGACAACTGTGCTCATCTCCCCTGCCTCATGTCCTCAGAGAAGAACGGTCAGCTACTCCCAAAAGTGTCTGTTACAAAAGCATGTATCTCCCTTGCTATAATTCAGATTTAAGACCACTAACTGCTCCAAATAGCTCAAAGATTCCTCCAGAAACCAGGCTAAACATTAGTCACAACCCATATACTTGTAAAAACAAAAAGTTAAATTTGAATGTGTTTTCAAAGATGCAATATGTTCAAAGAAGTTTATACAACTGATATTGAACTTAACAGTACTTTCTTAAAATCAAACTTAGCAATTAATACAAATTATTTTATCAGAATAAGAATGTTTTGGGTGCTGATTTCTCTCTCTGAAAGGGTGATGAATGCTGGTGGATAGACGGCCCTCCCTACTCAACTTCTGAAACATACCTACAGAACACCTGAGAATACAATCTTTTTATAATATGAAAAAAATATATATATCTGTACCTGAAAATTTATTCAACGCATCCTTACTTCCATTTGTTTCGACTCCTACACTCCGGAACTGTTGGACAATGTTATTCAATTCAGAGGAGCGCTGGGAAATTCGATGTTCAGCTATTCGAAGACGTTCTTTTAAAGCAAGAAATTCTCGTTGATAAGCAATTAGTTTTTCTAGAGGCAAAAGCAAAAAAAATTTTAAAAGTCATCAGTATACTTCTAAATAAAAAATTCCAAACAAAATTGTAATAACAAAACTTCAATTAAAGTCAAGTTTGGGGGAAGAAAATATTTACTCGCTGATACAAAACTGAAAATTAAAGAACTAAAGAAAATTAAAGAATTAAAGAAAATTAAAGAATTAAAGAAAATTAAAGAATTAAAGAATCCTGGCTTGCTAGCTAACATGGGAACTAATTTTGTGCTTTTATTATTTGTAACATTGTGAACACTCCCTATTTAAAATTCAGAAATTTAAAGATGGAGAAAGATAAAAGTCGTTAAAATTAACACTCCAAGTATAATACACCTTCTCAAAGGTATAAACAACTATAACGACCACATTTGTATCAACCAGATAGAGATGAGTTAAAAGCTGGTAATACGTATGAGACAATGGAGACAGCGCATTTACAGCATAATCATTATTTTCCATACTTCCTATCCTGCCAAGATTTCCCTAGGCCAGACTTTGGTCAAATTCCGAATTCCTAAAAACCTCAATGAACCCAGTTTAAAATCATTCATTTTAATAATTTTCGAGAATCAGAGATCAAAAAATATAGCTGGTCGGGGCTGGAGCTGGGGCTCAGTGGTACAGTGCTTGCCTAGCATATGCAAGGCACATAAAAATAAGTAAAGGCATAAAAAAATCACATCAACCTTTAAAAAAAAAGAAATTTAGTTAGTGTGGGAAATAAAGTGGGTGTAAGGAGGATAAACAGTGAGCATGAACAGGAGAACCCAGGGACAAAGCACACAGCAGGGAGAGGCGAGGACAGGACTGGACACATGAGCCAACAGGAAGGTGGAAGGGACCACCGTTCCCATCACCAGTGGCACACACAGTGGTTAAAGCGTGGGTGTGGTAGCTCCACCCCCTCCTCAAATCAGGAGCAATCAGAACAAAGGTTTTCAACTTTTCTCTATCAGCTAGACAGACCAAAGTCACTACTGTGACACCAAAACATGTCTTAGAAAGGCTGTTTTCTATTTAATATTATAATCTTTGCCTTATCCACAGATAAACTCAGGAAGAAACAGACTTACTGAATCCTCGTTTGTAAACTGGTCTTCGAAACTGTCCCACATGCTATTCCTTTCTGGCATGAGCAGAATTAGACGTTTTCCCATGGGACTTAAGCAGTACCTAGATACTGGCCTCTAACACCACTTGCCAATATAAAGAAGTAGAATTCTTTGGAGAAGTAAACTTTAATTAAGATAAACCTAGAACATTCTTAAATCAGCAGGAAGGAAAGTATCAAAAGAAAAAATGACAGGACACATCAAAAGGGCACAAGAGGACTGGGGTTGTGGCTCAGAGGTACAGCCCTCACCTAGCATGCATGAGGCACTGGGTTTGATCCTCAGCACCACATAAAGTAAAATAAAGACATTGTGTCCACCTATAACTAAAAAATAAATATTAAAAAAAAGGGGGGGCACAGGAGATGCAGGGTGCCGTGGCTCACACCTGTAATCCCAGCAGCTTGGGAGGCTGAGGAAGAAGGATCAAGAGTTCAAAGCCAGCCTTAGCAAAAGCAAGGCGCTAAACAACTCAGTGAGACCCTATTTCTAAATAAAATACAAAATAGGGCTGGGGATGTGGCTTAGTGGTCGAGTGCCCTTGAGTTCAATCCTCTGTACCAAGAGAAAAAAGGGGGGGCACAGGAGGTGACTTGAGAGGCCCCCACTGGCCAGACAGGGGACAGTGATGGTGGTAATAGATTGTAACCTACTAAGCAAGAATCCCTGAGTCTATACCAACATTGAAGAAATAAAGATCAACAGATGAGGGGAAAGCGTTTCTGACTGTATGAAACCAACTAATACGTGTAGAAGGAACAGTGATCAGTGGAAAAATCTCCATTTTGCAACCACAATAGCAACTGACACAGGCCAGATTGAAAAGGGGATGAATAAACAGCAGGTGAGTCTCATGAGGAAACAATACGTAGATCATCTCAAGTATGCCCTGCAAAGCATTATTTTATAAAAAGGAAAAACTTTTTTTTGAACAATAGGGAAATATGGAATAAGTCATCTTAATGGAGTGATCAAAACTCACATCAGCAATAACAGGATAGAGGTCAGGTGCCCCCTGAAGTGATGCTTGGGGAACCCAGCTCATTATGTGGCAGTCCTGCCAAAAAATGCACAATCTGAATCTAATCTCTAAGATACTACAGACACAGCAAAGTGTGACGTAACAAACACATCACCTGCACTTGAAACACTGTCAACGTCATCAAAGATAAAGGTTAAGAAACTGCCCAAGAGAACACAGACAATGAAATGCACAGAACAGTCCTGGACTGGATCCTGGACCAGGAAAAATATGTATGAAGACACTGTCGGGAAAACACACGCACACACTATAGACCAGAGAAATCAAAATACTTGTGGACATCAAATTTCCTGAACTTGAAACGGTACTGGTAATATAAGAGAATGTCCTTGTTCTTATCACTAAAGTAATAGCAATAAACACCAACGTGTTTAGGGGTGAAAAGAAACATGATTTCAGCAATTCACTTTCAAAGAATTCCAGAAAAAAAAAGTATCTCTACAGTGAGAAAAGTAACAGAGACAACAGGTGAAACATGCAGAGAAGTTATTTATACTATCCTTAAACTTGTCATTCCTTCTTCTATTTTAATGAAAAGTTTTCAAAGCAAGCAGAAGGACTGGGTGTCAGAATGATTAGGTCTTTGAGCAGCTCTGGGGTGACAGGGAGGGATACAGGTCTGAGGACAACCTCTATCTGGACACATTTTCTTGGTATATTGAAATCAGCCTTATAGAGAGGCCAGTTTCACCAAGTGGGAAGACAAACCAATTTGTAGAAAAAGATCTCTACCCCTAATTCCAAAAACTCCCCTGCGTGGAGCAGAACTGGACCCTCTTTTGGTAGATTATTTGAGAGAGGATAACTTGGGCCCATGAACCCAAGCGATCATTGGACCATGGGACCAGGCCATGAGCTTGCTGATCCAGATGCTGTTTTTAGCTCAAAGTCTACAGCTATGAGAAAACTCCACCTTTTGTTTCTACTCCATTCTTCCATATTCAGAGAGTATTCCACAAAATCAGGGCATGTTCATACTCCATCTAGAGAGCCAACTCAGCTTTCTAGAAATTTCTAGACATTTCTTAGAATTTTCTCCACCCTTCTTTCCCATAATACTACACAGTTCTTGAGTTTATTTCAAATTTTAATAGACAAAACTCTCTCCAAATTAATATGTTTGACAAGTCCCTATTTTCAACATTAATTGCAAGATTCCTATATTTGCTTTTCTTTGAATAATCTCAATTGGTTTATGTAGGGGGACATGGCAGGAAACTAAGATACTCTTGCTTACCTCGTACTGGGAAGCACTCAGTTCTGCTTACTGTTTCTTCTTTAGTATAAATGCAATGTTTTGTTTTGCTTACAGTACTGTAGAATTGAATCCAGTGGTGCTCTACCACTGAGCCCTACCCAACCCTTTTCATTTTGTATTTGGAGACAGAGGCTCACTAAGTTGCCCTCAGTCCTGAGATCCTCCTGCCTCAGCCTCCTGAGTAGCTGACCTTATAGATGTGTGCCATCACGCTTTTAATAGTAGAAAATTATGTATCTAAATCAGATGACAAAAGTAATAATCATGTTTTGTGAACCTAAGGTTTTGAAACATACAAACATTCTAAAACAGGGGCAAACATGCAATTTTATATGGTTCAACATTTTAATTAATAGCCTTGGACTCAATTTAAAAAAAAAAAACTGGTCAACAGTACAGATGAATAATTAACAAACACTATTAACAAGTACTTTTTCAAGCAGTACCTTTGCAGCAAGATACAGGAACACTACTGGAGTCTATGCACCATCATAAAAATTACCAAAAATTAAACCCACTTTTAATTCTTAAAATTTTAGGGTTTATTAAACAATAAAATTCTTCTACTGCAAAGAATGTTGATAAGCCATCTGGTTCATCCCTCTGTCCCTTTAATATTGCACAGAACTCCTTCACACAGAGAAAGTTTTTTTAAAAAATAGGATTGAGAAACTCCTTCAGTAATAAGATTCCAAAATTTAACAAGCTTTACTTTTCAGAAAGAAACTGCCTTTGGAAAACATTTTATTTCACTCTTTAAAAAATTTTCATATTCATCATTCTTATACAACCAATTTAAAATAGAAAAGAGAGCCTGGATGAAATAGTGGGCAATTTCCTACTTGGAAACCTCTAAAACAAAGAAAAAAAAAACAATAATAATAAAAGAAACAGATTCAGGAGGTGTTAAGGAGGACTAAAGCCTGGAAAGGCCAGAGAGAGAGAACACGGGTCCCAATGAAATGGGCCAAAAGAACAGAACTTGAACTGGTGATGCTAATAGAATGGAACTAGAACCAAATTTTGGCTCTTTTAATTTTTTATTTGTACTACTTAATTGTACAGGAGAGCAGAATGCATTTCAATTCATCGTACACAAATGGAGGGCAACTTAACAACCACAGAGCAATGCCTCACATGCCTCTCACTTGCAAGCCACCTGGACGGGCTGGATGAGGTGCTGAATTCTGGACTCTACCTCCTGGAAACCAATTGAGGAGGTGAGAGCTGGGGCCTGAGAATGTCAAATTGGCTCCTGGTGATGCTGATGTGCCCAAGGACACCCCCCTCCCCACCCCGCTGGGAAACTCAGAGGTGCCAATACTATCCTGGAGTCACTCTGAAGTGGCCTAGAAATTCACACTGCCCTCTCCCAGCTCCTCCTCCATCCTTCCCTCTGGCCCATGTGTTAAAGAGATCCCAGAGGCAGGGATGAGGGAGTAGGCATTAAAACCACTAGGACCATAATTTACAAGATTATATTTGGGGAAGAAATGGTCTCAAAGCATCGGTGGACACACATTTCAAAGGTCTAAGAGTTATGTGGACTTGTCAACGTCATGCCCT